CGAGTGGCCATATATGGTGAACTCGTATGACAGTCAAGCAGCTCAGTTCCCAGGAGCAGACACCAACACATATGATTTGATTATAGGCTTTGTTTGGTTTATTTTGTTTCACGACATATCAACCTCAATGGGTTATTTAATGCCGACAACATTTTAGGATAGATTCGTATGAATAGAATATGTATTCTTTGGTTTAGATTGGTTTGGTTTATTTTGTTTAACGGCATATCAACCTCAATGGGTTATTTAATGCTGACAACATTTTTAGGATAGATTCCTATGAATAGAGTATGTATTCTTTGGTTTAGATTGGTTTGGTTTATTTTGTTTTACGGCATATCAACCTCAATGGGTTATTTAATGCCGACAAGATTATTAGGTGGGTTCGCATGAATGTAATATGTATTATTTGTAAGAAATCAGTTTGTAGATCAGTTTTATTGACGTATTTTTGGGGAGAGGGTTTTTGTCGAGAGTCAAATGTATTGACTAATATTTTTTCCAAAAATGTATTGCTGGTAATAATTTTTCAAAAATGTATTGCTGGTAATGATTTTTTATTAAAAAATATATTGCTTGTAATATTTTTTTTAAAATGTATTGCTGATAATAGTTTTTTGTTTTGTTTTTTTTGTTTTTTGTTTTTTGGTTGTTTTTTTTTTTGTTTTTTCGAAAATGCATTGATCATATTTTTACTGTAAATATCTATTTTTACAGATTCATAGCGTTTTGACCTCAAATTAGGGGTTAACTAGCTGGGACCCTAACAGGTGCTACCACCCCGAGTGAGGGTGGACTTGGGAACAACAGCAATTAAGAGGTGGTTTCACGCTCCTCAAAACCTTCTGATCAGAGGCCTTGCTGCTGAATGTAGTTTATCGACATGCCTAGGACGATTAAACCTGGGATGTTTTAATATGAAATGACCAAGACAAATCCTTGGACTTTGAACAAAGTCAGACTAATTCTGAAATCCCGATACTGTCTATTTTCAAACTCTATATAGCACATATCATTTGAGAAATATACAAATGCCCGTGAGTGGCCAACGTTTAACAGTTAGAAAAAAGGAATCTTGTCTACCTGTCGATGACGTTGTTGAGGCAACATCACCATAAACAAACATGTCGGATAGTAGGTTCTGGGAATTGATAGTACATTTGGAATTAACGCTAGGCCTATTGAGATAACTGGTTTGTTTCAATAGTAAACAAAGTGCAGTAATAAGGCTGGTATTCTTCGTGTACATATGAAGCGTGAATCGTAGTCAGTATTACGTGGCTGGGGTTGGGGTTTGTGAAGATACCGTCCAACATGCCTAGATGAACAAAAGACTGCAAGAAAGCAGGTTATCATCAAGACTCGACAAAAATATATGTGGTATTATAGAAACGGGATATAAATTATCTATTACTAGCTTAAAAGCCGCACTCCATGCGACATTTTAAGCTAACACTTGCGGCGGGATAACTACACGTCCAATTCGAGGACAAAATACGACATAGGACGAAAGACCGATTTGGGCCGAAACTTCAATTCAGGCCGAAACTCCAATTCAGGCCGAAACTCCAATTCAGGCCGAAACTCCAATTCAGGCTGAAGCTTCAATTCAGGCCGAAACTCCAATTCAGGCTGAAACTCCAATACAGGCCGAAACTTCAATTCAGGACGAAACTCCAATTCAGGCCGAAACTTCAATTCAGGACGAAACTCCAATTCAGGCCGAAACTTCAATTCAGGACGAAACTCCAATTCAGGCCGAAACTTCAATTCAGGACGAAACTCCAATTCAGGCCGAAACTCCAATTCAGGCTGAAGCTTCAATTCAGGCCGAAAATCCAATTCAGGACGAAACTCCAATACAGGCCGAAACTTCAATTCAGGACGAAACTCCAATACAGGCCGAAACTTCAATTCAGGACGAAACTCCAATTCAGGGAAACTTCAATTCAGGACGAACTTCAATTCAGGGAGGCTGAAACTCCAATACAGGCCGAAACTTCAATTCAGGACGAAACTCAATTCAGGCCGAAACTTCAATTCACGACGAAACTCCAATTCAGGCAATTCGGACGAAACTCCAATTCAGGCTGAAGCTTCAATTCAGGCCGAAAATCCAATTCAGGACGAAACTCCAATACAGGCCGAAACTTCAATTCAGGACGAAACTCCAATACAGGCCGAAACTTCAATTCAGGACGAAACTCCAATTCAGGCCGAAACTTCAATTCAGGACGAAACTCCAATTCAGGCCGAAAATTCAATTCAGGACGAAACTCCAATTCAGGCTGAAACTTCAATTCAGGACGAAACTCAATTCAGGCCGAAACTTCAATTCAGGCTGAAGCTTCAATTCAGGCCGAAAATCCAATTCAGGACGAAACTCCAATGAAACTTCAATTCAGGACGAAACTCCAATACAGGCCGAAACTTCAATTCAGGACGAAACTCCAATTCAGGCCGAAACTTCAATTCAGGACGAAGCTTCAATTCAGGCCGAAAATCCAATTCAGGCTGAAACTCCAATACAGGCCGAAACTTCAATTCAGGACGAAACTCCAATTCAGGCCGAAACTTCAATTCACGACGAAACTCCAATTCAGGCCGAAACTTCAATTCCGGACGAAACTCCAATTCAGGCTGAAGCTTCAATTCAGGCCGAAAATCCAATTCAGGACGAAACTCCAATACAGGCCGAAACTTCAATTCAGGACGAAACTCCAATACAGGCCGAAACTTCAATTCAGGACGAAACTCCAATTCAGGACGAAACATCAATTCATGACGAAACTCTAATTTTTTTTAAGCATTTCACCCCAAGCAAGGCGGGAGTGTCACTAGCACGCAAGGGGTTACAAAGAGTGGCAGCAAGAGTAAAGAGGCGCTATAGAGGAAAGGATGAAGAGAAGGGCAGGGAATTTGAATAGCTGGAGATTATAGCTATCAGGGAAACAAGTAAATGAAGGGAATTCCACAGACGAGAGGTGCGAGACATGAAGCTATTGGAGTAGAAGAGACGGCCACATTTAACCGTTTCGACGGTGAAAGGGTGGGACCGAGATGCCAGCCTAGTTGCACGTTTAAATTCATGCAGTCTGGGAACTATCGAATGTAGCTCGTCGGAGTAGTTACCGTGAAAGTATTTGTAGAAACGACAGATGGAGGCAACGTCACGTCAGTAAGAGATCGACTATAAACGAGATGCCAGATCAGGGCCAATCACATTGCATGTCAGTCTCTGGATATTGTCGAGGACCTTAAGACGAACAGCTGGGGCTTCAGTATGCGACGAATAGAGAGGATTTGAGCAATTACCGACCTGCCTCTTCTAAATCCATTTTGGTTCTTGCAGAGGAGAGGGTCGACGGTAGGGACAATCAATTTTTAGCAGAAGTTTATTGTAAACTTTTCAATTGACATGAAAGTTATACACCTAGATGGCCCTTTTTTTGGAACAGGGACTATTGCGCCCTTCAGTCAAGCTGACAGCGGCGAATGGCGTATGAATGTGTGGTTGCAAAACTGTAGGATGAGGTCATGAAATATTGGATCTTTCCACAATAATGTTGGTATGTTGTCAAGATTTATTGTTGGTAAAATCTTTGAGTTTTGTTTTAAGTTCATCGAGTCTGAATGGGTTGGTGTTTATGTCCAGTTTATTGGATATTTGATGTATTGGAAGTGGAAAACCACTGACTTGCGGTCGTTCTCCCAAGAGTTTCTTAAAATGGTCAAACCAGTTAGCTTTACGCTTTTCGACCTCTAAGACGAATGGAAGGCTTTGATTTTCTTCCCGAGAGTATGTTTTTTTCCAGGCTGCGACATGTTTTTTCTCCCTATGCAGTCTTACAATCTTGTCGAATTGGAAATAAAAGGTAAATCTTATCGTCTTAAGTTTGAATTTCTTAGATTATTATTATTGATAATTTATTAATAGTTTTATTTCTTTTCACCTTATATATGTTGCCTGTTACTATATACTAGTAATAGTAGAAGTAATAGTCTTAATTTATATGAAGTATGAAAACTGGAGACATGTTTTTAAACAGCCACATCAGATCGAGACCTGATAGAATTCGGATATTCGGATTTTTAATATAAAACAAAAACCTAGACGACAAAATAACCTACACTTTTCTTTTAATTTCTATTTTCACCACTTGGTGGCACCACCCTTATTTTCATTTTAAACAATAAAATTTCTGACAGTTTGAGTAATATGTTCTGTAATCATAATTTTTTTTTATAGAAATCGCTTTTTTTTAAATTCATCCTGGGTGGTAACCTTTTCTTTCACTTTGACAAACGTGTGCCGAATTCACGTTGTAATATGATTTTCGTGACAGTAGAATTAATGAGAAGTGACAATAAATATGTATATATTACATTTCAAGCAACTAGTGTCAGGACTTTTCTTTAAAGAAAACTGTGTTTGGGCTGATTGGTACATAGAATATGGGGCTTCTTTGCACACCACACCGATGCAATTTACCTACCTTCCCTCGGTGGTAATACATACCAGTTTAATGTGGAGGGATGTACAAACTGTCATGCTAGTCTCCGTATCCATTAACACCCTTTCAGTGCAATGAGGGATACTGCCACAGGAATCCCCGGAACCAAGCATCCCTCATAGTATTTCCGTGAACTGTCCGAAGATAGAGACAAGACAGAGCGGTAAAACAAACATATACTTCACTTTGATCCCAGCCCGAAAGAAGGCTTTGGACTGTTGTAACGATTTACTAAGCGTAGATGAGATGTGATACAAGGTCGAATGTATGGAGCACTCCATGAGGATCAAAATCACTGCTCAGTCGTAAATGACCCTGAAAGACAAGCTTGATAACCATTACACCACGGCGAAGTGTCCACAAAATACACGATTTGTAGTGTATGAGATGTGATACAAGGTCGAAAGTTTGAAGTACCCGATGATGATCGAACTCACTACTCAGTCTTAAGTAATCTTGCAAGACATGCTTGCTGCTACCCATTACATTTGATAGATAGATAGATATGAACAAGATTTGATAGATATGAATAGGATTTGATAGATAGATAGATAGATAGATAGATAGATAGAGAGAGAGATAGATAGATAGAGAGAGAGGGAGAGAGAGAGAGAGATGAACAGGATTTGATAGATATGAACAGAATTTAATAGATAGATAGATATGAACAGGATTTGATAGCTATGAACAAGATTTGATAGATAGATAGATAGATAGATAGATAGATAGATAGATAGATAGAGAGAGAGAGATGAACAGGATTTGATAGATATGAACAGAATTTAATAGATAGATAGATAGATAGATAGATAGATAGATAGATAGATAGATCCGATAGACAGGATTTGATAGCTATGAACAAGATTTGATAGATAGATAGATAGATAGATAGATAGATAGATAGATAGATAGATAGATAGATAGATAGATTTGAAAAGATTGAGATAGAAAATGACAAAATAATGTATGTCTAATAATTTTATTGTTTTATAAAAACTAATTCTTATAAAAACTAACATCTTACCTATTATAAAACGCAGATTGTGTGTGTGTGTGTGTGTGTGTGTGTGTGTGTGTGTGTGTGTGTGTGTGTGTGCGTGTGTGTGTGTGCGCGTGTGTCTGTACGTTTATATATTGAATCGGATTTCCTACATTTTTCAACCGATTTCAACAAAACTTCATAGGACTACGTAAAATTACCTTGCGGTGGTTCTGACAGCGCCAAAAATTGGAAAAACACAATTGTTTTTGCCCGAAATCAATTTGAAAACACTATTAAGAGGCATTAATGAAAGGGGGACATCTCATATCGAGTTATACTTATTAATATCGAGTTATCGAGTTATACTTATTATAAAACCCAGGTTGGTTGTTTCTGTGTGTGTGTGTGTGTGTGTGTGTGTGTGTGTGTGTTCATATATGAGATCGGATTTCCTACATTTTTCAACCGATTTCAACAAAACTTCACTTTTTTTTTGGCAGGTAGTGTTTCTTATTGTCTACACACTTTTTTCTTTATTTTTACATTCAGAATGCTTTAAAAATTCCATTTACAAGACAATTGTTTATAATAAAATTCTATTCAATCGGTAGACTCACAACGATTGAAAACAATGTTTTTGTTTGAGTTTGGATTTGACCAATTCGTAAATAAAATAAAATAAAAAATAAAAAAACTAATTAAGACATGCGTGTCCGTCAACCTTAAAAAATAGTCTTTGTCAATTTTATTTTTCAGTCTTTATGATGGTCGATACTTGATCTATCTCTTACTGTTACATTCCCGGGCAACGCCGGACTCTACTGCTAGTCTAAAATAAAATTTATTTGAAATACCTCCTGCTTTTATTAGACTCCCCTCAGTATATTATTTGTCTTCCACCAATTCCCCTTATCAACTCTCTCCCCCTCAGTAATGTCTAGCCAGATAATAAGAAACCTGAAACATTAAGGTTTGAGCAGAAACCTGCAAGGAACTTTCTTTACATACGAAATTGAGGAGGACACAAAATTTACAAGCATTTATTTACAGCTGATTTTCTGAAGATTAACTCGAAACAGAAAAAATAGCACTCAAAACTCGTAAATATTTTTTTTAATGTCACAAAAAATAAATATTTCCTATTGGCAGAAGAGAGAACGTCACTTCTCTTATCACGAACATCAACAAAGGCACAAGCAAACAAAACTCGTAACTACCACGGGAAATTTAAAAGAACAAATATTTATTGTATAACATTAAAAAAATATAAAAAATACAATATTTTACAAGATGTAAAAATTTCTTTTTCTTCGACTTCTGTGAGGTTTGGTTTAGTTTATTTTGTTTAACGGTGTATCAACCTCAATGGGTTATTTAATGCCGACAACATTTTTAGAATAGATTCGTATGAATAGAATATGTATTCTTTGGTTTAGATTGGTTTGGTTTATTTTGTTTTACGGCATATCAAACTCAATGGGTTATTTAATGCCAACAGCATTTTTAGGATAGACTCGTATGAATAGAATATGTATTCTTTGGTTTAGATTGGTTTGGTTTATTTTGTTTTACGGCATATCAACCTCAATGGGTTATTTAATGCCAACAACATATTTTATTGCTGGTAATCAAAAATCTGTTCTGGTAATATATTTCCTTCAAAATTGTATTGCTGGTAATCATTTTTTTTCACAAAAGTATTGCTGGTAATAGTTAACTATTTGCCCATAGCTGGGACCCTAACAGGTGCTACCACCCCGGGTCAGGGTGGACCTGGGAACACCAGCAATTCAGAGGTGATCCCACGCTCCTCAAAACCTCCTGATCAGAGGCCTTGCTGCTGGACGTAGTTTAACGTCTTATCCAGGACACGGATGTAGTTCAACGTCTTACCCAGGACGAGCCTTCTGTGTGGAAGATAACATATGAAAAATATAAATAATCTTGAAAAATTTCAATAAAATCTTCGAAAAATGAATAAAGTTTCATGAGGTAATACACAATTTGAATAAAGTCGAACAAAAGAAAGTTGCATCCACCTAATCAGAGAACGAAGAGAGCTTTGGCAATTTCGAATCACCGACGTCGCGGGGCCTTTTTATAGAACACAGTTCTATTAAGAGACTTCACTTCCTTTTTGCGTATGTTTTTAAGGTGGCACTCAAAAATTGCTTTACCTTCTTGGTCCTTGCTCTTCTTCTGATATTTCTGTATCACTTCGTCTTGTACATTAGTCGAAATATTTGGTACTTCATTGAATTCTGAATAGCTTCTGAGGCTTATCTTTTCACCCTTCTCTTTATAAGGGTGTTTCATTAAGACGGATCAAAAGTCAGCAGTAAATAAATCGGTGTTACTGGTGAAAATTTATTTATTTCTCTATTGGATCATGATATTCATTAAATTCTGAATAGCTTCTGAGGCTTATCTTCTGACCCTTTTCTTTATAAGTGTGTTTCATTAAGACGGATCAAAGTCAGCAGTAAATAAATCGGTGTTACTGGTGAAAATTTATTTATTTCTCTATTGGATCATGATATTCATTAAATTCTGAATAGCTTCTGAGGCTTATCTTCTGACCCTTCTCTTTATAAGTGTGTTTCATTAAGACGGATCAAAAGTCAGCAGTAAATAAATCGGTGTTACTGGTGAAAATTTATTTATTTCTCTATTGGATCATGTTATTTAAGTCATGGCAATTATGTGTGAAAAATAATATCACTCAAATGCCCGCCAGGTCTTCGGTAGCACACCTCCAATCGATGGTCAAAATTTCTGATGACGTCTCTGCATAGTTGCTCCTCGATCTCACCAATATGCCTTATTATCTAATCCTTCAACTGTTGAATTGTTAGCTTGTTGGCATAGACCTTACTTTCGTCACACAATCGTAGTGGTCAATTGACTTCGCTGTTTCGAAAGATGATGCGACCTTAGAACTTCTCATTCAATAAAGCCATTGTTGCATTGGCTGTGTGGCATGTGGTGCCGTCCTAGCATTCAATTCACCGCAACAGAATTCTCGGCATCATTTTCGAAGAAATACGGCCCAATGATTCCGCTAGCAAAAAATGCACACCAAACTGTGACCTTTTGTGGATGCAGTGGCTTTTCAACAATCTTCCTTGGATTTTCATCAGTCCAAATGCGACAATTCTGCTTATTAATAAATCCACCAAGATGAAAATGGGCTTCATCACTAAAGAGGATTTTTTGTGAAACATATTCATCGGCTTGTCTTTGTTCATGCACCCAATTGACGAATGTACGGCGCTCCAAATTGTCAGGCAGCTTTCAGTTCTTGTGTCAACTGAATTTTGTAAGCGTTTTGTCAAAATTCAATGTAACGTTCTTGTGGAGATGTTCAATTCCTGTACGCGATGACGAATAGTGGTGTCTGGATTTTCGGCCACATTCTCCTGCACTGCAGCAATATTTTCAGCTGAATGGCGTAAACGAGCACGCAATGGTGTTTTCACATCTGCCACCATCCCAGTTTGTTTGAATTTATGAACAATTTTTTTTTCAATTGTACTCTTGAAACTTTAACACGTTGTTTGATTGTTAATTTTTCCATGGTTGAAATTGCCAAAGATTTAAGTTGTCAAATCTGAAAGAAAAAGAAAAAAAATCATTAGACGCTTAAACTTAATTCACATCTAAAATCGGTCCAAGTTATTGGAACATCCATTAAGAAATGAAGACAGATATCAACTTCAAATTTACGTAATTTTACACTTTTTATTGGATAATAAATAGAAATGTGCTTGGGTCAGAAGAAACCAAAGAAATTCGTGTGCCAACACTAAGTTTAATTGCGTTTATTGATAAATAAATAATTAAAATGACATATTATTCACATTTTATGAAAAACAGTTAAAATAACTTAGTTAAAATTGATTATTGAAAGGCTATTGTTTGCTGATTACATTACATGTTAATCGTATTCCGTCTCATCCAAATAAACTGATGTTCTTAATTTTAGTCTTATCCTTTGCCTAGTGTGATTCCATATGTTGGGTGTGAATGCCTGTCTGCGAGTTAACGAAGTGCAAAGACTGCTTGACGGTTCTGTGACGGTAGTTTGGATTAGTAGCTATATCTCTGTAAGTTCGCCATTCATTGCTGTGAATATTTGACCCATGTCTCACCAATTTTATATAAGATATATTTACAACACGAGAGGGTTCCTGGTTATATGAATGAATAAATTAAAACCAGTACATGAAAACAGCTATAGAATATTAAAGTTAGTCGTACCAAAACGTTCATGTCTAGAACAACGAACCCGATTATTCTCATCTAAAGAATAACGAATCCAATCATCTTGTAAACCTTGCCGTGAGTGGGTTGTCTAATCTTGAGAAGATCCAAATTATGTACAAAATATCTGCAGTAGAAGCTATTTCAAACTATTTATACTGCGATATTAAATAACCCATAGAGGTGTTGATATGTCACTAAACAAAATCAACTAAGCAAAAAATCCTTTTATCTCGAAAGAAATAATGCAGATATTCATAAGAATAGTTGAAATTAATGTATGTAAGATTATCCATCATGTTAAGACTTTTACAGCTAAAACCTGCAATGCTACGTACACAGGGTCAAATTACCTTTATTCCTGCCTATTCCATTGTTAAAATAGAAGTTTCACTCAGACAACCTCTTCCCACTTACCGCTACTTTAAGTGGCTCTTGGGCCTGGTATTGGGTCGAACAATAGTATAAAAATATTCTTTCAGGAAGGAGGCGATCGTGGATTTCCACAGATTCCTTTTCTTTATTATCTTTGATATTACAATAAATTCATGGGAAAGATAGGGGAGTGGTTTCTGTTTCCTCCCACTCAGTCTTGAATTCAGTATTTGATGAGAAAGCTCAGTCTATGCTGCTATTTAACCCCTAGATAGAGGGAGAAAACATAGATCTATACCTTTCCTATGAGCATTAGTCCGAAAGTAAAAGCAGACAAAGCAGGGATTTGAACTTCTATCGCTGATTCCATTTTTCGTGCCGATATTACAGCACCAGCACATCCTTTGACAGTCGTACCTCCCCGGTCAAATTCCCATGTCTGGTACAGTCCCTGTCTAATGGACGAGCGTGGGCTCTAATCGGTGGGGAAGTGGCGCCGTTGGCACTAGCAAAAAAAAAAAAAAAAAAAAATGAGCGATCCGTCTTCTTTTTCACCGGGGTTGGCGAGTAAACGACGGAAGTGGCCGTATTTCAGGTTCGACAACACCAAACGACGCCGATCACGGCGGAAGCCGGAAAGGACCGAACTGCAAAGCGCGCCAGACGTAGAAGAGATTGAGGCTGCCGGCGGAAAAAGAAAGAGTGACAGCAGCCGAACCTCGGAAAGCGCGAGAAAATCTCGCGCACCCGCGGAGCAGAAGCCAACCCAGATCTTCCACCGAGGAGCCGACCATAACCCCGCGATTGACGGCCGCCACCGGCCCGGGTCGACACGTTTCTGACGCCGACAAAGGCGTGTCTAACCCCCTATGCTACACCTCCCGTATCACCTCACATCCTGCAAATATTTATTTCGCTTAATGTAGTCGAAAACAAGAACCACAACTTCTGTAACCTCTCAGTGGGCTAAACTCATGATGAATTGTCTCACAAACCAGTTTATGTACTTCCTCACCTGTCAGAGTCTCTAAAAGATATTACCAAATATAGAGGTACGACGAATTGCAATTTCCAATTGTGTCGTCTTATGTTTAGGCAAGAAATGACAAAGAGACAGGTTTCAAATTAACAAGTGCAATCGTGTCTTTCTACTGGTACATTAGTCACAAAAAGAAGTCTGTCAGGAACATATTAAGAGCCATGAAAAAACCAAAAGTCTTAATTTAATTGCTAGAATCTGGCTTAACACTTTCAGTGTTGCATTGTAATAGCATTGTTGCCTGGCTTTGCTGGCCCAATTGGAATAGGCTGGGAGATTAACACTTTCACTGTTGCATTGTTATAGCATTGTTGCCTCGCTTTGCTGGCCGTTTTGTAATAGGCAGGGAGATTATCACTCACTGTTTCATAGCATTATAGTATTGTTGTCTGATTTTGCTGGTCCATTTGTAATATGCTTGAAGATTAACACGTTCACTGTTGGATTGTTATAGCATTGTTGTCTGGCTGTGCTGGCCCATTTAGAATAGGCACTGTGATTAACATTTTCACTTCTGCATTGTTATGGGCTGACCGGGCTGGCCTATTTAGAATAGGCTGGAAGATTAACATTTTCACTGCTGAATTATCATATCATTGTTGCCTAGCCGTGCTGGACCCTTTGGAATAAGGTGGAAGATTAACACTTTCACTATTGGATTGTCACAGCATTGTTATCTGGCAGTGCTGGCCCATTTGGAATAGGCTTAAAGATTAACACTTTCATTGTTGGATTGGTATAGCATTGTTGCCTGGCTGGGGTGGCCCATTTGGAATAGGTCTTAGGATTAACACTTTCACTGCTGCATTAATATAGCATTATTCCTTGACTGTGCTAGTTCGTTTTGAGGGAAAATACGAAATTCCCATTTACTAGAAACAAGTGATTATACATACCCAAAAACAATTTCTTCTACCCGCTGCCATTCTGGTTTCGATCACGTACTCGTCAGTACAGACTAAGCTAAACAACCCCCATCACCCAATATAATAAAATACGCCACAAAACCAGTTGTATTATATGTTACTATATGTCTACGCTGGTTTTGAAATAGCACTAAAAGAATATTTGTGGTGTTGTTAATCATTTCATCCCAATCAAGGCGATAATGCCACTAGGACGCAGGAGGTTACAGGGAGTGAAAGGGAATGAGAAGACTTTAATGATGAAGATTGAGGAAAAGACAATAAAGAAACAGTATTCAGAAAGACAGAATATGGCAAATGACGTTGCATTAACATTTTTGAAGATTGTGCACGGCAGGGAAGCAAGAAATCGGGAGTACCACGGATGGGAAGTGCGAGAAAAGAAAAAAAGAATATATGTGGCGGTTGCATCTAGCTACTTGAACAGTAAAACTGCGAGACCTAGTTGCCAATCGAGTAGATCGCTTAAATTCATGTAGTCGAAGCAAAAAGTTCAACAGAACACTTGCTATGAAAATATTTGCCGAAAAAACAAGGAAATGAGAAATTGACTGATGACGAGATGCCGGGTCAGAATCGATAATATTGCAGACCCTTATCTGAATTTTGTCAAAAATCTCGAGCTATGCTGCAGAAGCATCAGACCAAATATGACAGCAATATTCAATGCACGGAAGAATGGTAGATTTATAAAAATGTGCAAGATGCATTCTGACGAGAAGAATTGTCTGGCACAGCGCAATGAACCAACTTTCCTAGCAGAAGACGTAGCAACTGATTCAATATAGTCACTCCAGTTCATGCCAGTGTAAACCTTGAGCCCAAGAAGGCGTAAAGTGTTGCTCTTCTGGAGGTTACAATCAGCCTTGTTGATGTCAGACAGATAAGATTCGTATCCGGAACATTCGCCGTAAAAAAATTTGTCGTAGGAAAACTCGCCTCGCGATTTTTTGCCATAGGAAACTTCGCCGTAAGACAATTTCGCCTCATTTTTTTTTTTCGATGGGTAAGATGGATATCAATGCTCGTCAAATGTTTTACATGTAGATAAATTATGTGGTATGTTTGATGAATTGTATGTCAATTATACTTTGGATCAAAAGGTGGTATGTTCTTATAATGTACGTTCAAATATAAGAAAATATATTTCAATAATTAGGTATTTATAGTGAATTTAAAACAGTTTATGTTATTTGTGTAAATTTCAAGACTTACTGAGAGTTTGAAAGAGTTATCTTTCTTTGATCAGATATTTTATATTGAAATTGGTTGTGTATTCAAGTTGTAAGTTTGTTTGAAATAATATATATTGCTTGAATGAGAATTATTGGCAGACTGATATTATGTTAACAGAAAGTTTCACGTTAAATCTGAAATATGAAATTGTGTGACGTTGGTTCTGATGTCAAGTTGAAATTTTTGCGCTTCTCACTGACGCGGATGAATGATGTAGGATTTTGATCCTATAACTTTGCTTATTAAAATATTTAAATCGAAGTAACAATAGTGTGAGCCAGATATACTTGATAACAAGGTACTGCGCATATTAAAAAAATTCGGCGAAATTTTCTCACGGCAAAAATTCAATACGGCAAAGTTTTCTACGGCGAAAATTCCTGAGCCGAGTTTTACAACGGCAAAAATGTTTTCGACGAATGTTCTTAAAACCGAAAAGCTTGTCTGTGGTGATTAAATGAAAGTAATTTGGGGTTTTTTTTGGGGGGGGGGCATTAAAATGTATAAGTCATTTCTTGCTCCTGATTAGCGGTCCTTTTCGAGAACAGTTATCAGGGGATTTTTTTTGTCGGATCTTGCTACAAAGGCAGGAGTAAATAGTTGTGCCATCTATATATATACAATTAGTTGGGAACTGACGACATCGGGAAGGTCGTTGGTAAAGATCAGAAACAGCGTAGGTTCAAGGATAGACTCTTGGGGACCCCCTTGTTAGTATGAAAAGGGCCGGAAGCGAACAGGTTCAGCACGACGTTCTTTGCACGATTTGTTAGGAACGATTGGTTTGAGAAAAATATTTGTCATGTGACACAGTGGGCCTTGCGCTTACAAAGAATGCTAGCATGCGAAACCCTGTCGAACGCCTTTGAGATAGCTAAAGCAACAACCCAAGCTTCGCTAGTCTTATCTAAAGACGAATTCAATAATGACAGTTAATACATCAGTGATCGACATGACAAAATGGAAGCCATTGTTTGTGTTAAAGGAAGTCGTGTGAAGTAAGTACTCGAGTACTTTGCCAAAAAGAAGCAAAAGACTAATAGGGTGTTGTAGCATACCTACAGCCGATAATTGGTATGTTCCCATTCACATAAATACAGTAGTAAATACTGTATGTTGGTCTGCAGTTGGAGATTCGTCTCCAACTGTGCTGGTCAAACTCTCTGCCGCCGGACAGAGAGGATCCCCAGACGAGGCTACGCCGGAGGGCGGAGTCTCGTCTCTGGAAACAGCTACCCAAACCCGTTTTATACGGGGTCTACGAGGTAGTTTTAGCTGAGCCTACGGGGTCGTGATACCCCATATTAAATTCGGCCTTGTGCCACATCTGACCGCGTAAGGCGGTTGGTAGATATCCTGTAGTTGGAGATTCATTGTGGAATTCACTTGACTCACTTGTAACAGTTGACTACTTCTACGCGCCGCTGGCGAATCTTATATGTTCTTGTCTTAAATATTATCGTTCAATACCAACCTTCGTGTGATTATTCTATTCAGTAACCTTGCCTAGGTTACAACATAGGGTCAGAGGGTTCTGTGATTACGGCTAGGGAAAAAGGGGAAACACATGTGACCACTTCAAGCGACGGTTAGCAACGGTTTTAGTTCAAGTATATACAAATGTATTGGCTCTGTCTTATCCAATCAACATCATCTTTACAGATGTCTTGACTATGTGCCAGCCAATCAGCATTGTCTTTACAGAATATTATACAACAGCTTCCGAGCAATGCACTCTGTTTTATCTGCAGTAGATGTCAATACTTCAAATTGCTTGAAAAGAGGAGGGACTGATGATTTTTTCAGTACACACTTACAGAGTCGCCAGCAATCTCAAGAACTATACTTGTGAAAGGCTATATAGTGTCTCATTCTATCAGCGAATAGCGGCTTTGCCTCTTTCAGGATATGCTGCCGTCATTACGAGCAATGACGAAGAGACGTCTGTTACAATCGGACGTCGCTCTGATATAACCGGAAGAAGTGATACCTGTGGGCTATAGCGGTTGAACAGATAACAGAGAAGTAAGAAGAAGATTGTGGTTTCACTTGGTATTTCCGTGCTGGAACGAAAGATTCGATGTTTGCCTCACAGGATGATTAAAAAAAATATAATTTCAAGGGCGGGGGGGTCGCAAAGGAAATCATGAAACGAGTCTCAATCAGAAAATATGTTTGTGACTGATGCGAGATCGAAAAGAGATATCTATAGAGACTACCGCTTGATCGGAATATGAGATCCAACCTTGGGTTATAGTGAAAAAACTGCTTTGACCAGCGCTCAGATCTTTGAAAATATTGTAATTGGGGTGGGGTGGGGGGGTCAAGAGGGAAAAAATTGTAGAATACTTTTGGAATTAGGGATCTGTAAAAAAAATCTCCCAGCTAACCTCATCTCACTAAAGCAAATATTTGTGAATTGGGATCGCTAAAAACATTTGCTAGGCAACCTCCTCTCACAATAGCAAATATTTGTGAATTGGGATCGGTAAAAACAGACAAAATGTTTTAGATTTTCATTGTGTCATATAGGAAGAAAATTAGTCACTACTGACACCGAGGGTCGAGTGTGACACTCTGGACTTATGAATAT